GAGAGAGAGAGAGAGAGAGAGAGAGAGAGAGAGAGAGAGAGAGAGAGAGAGAGAGAGAGAGAGAGAGAGAGAGAGAGAGAATAGGCTGATTCCAGAATCACCCGGGGACGTGTTTGTCAATTCTTCGCCGAATTGGTGTCTCTTCCGCCCCTTCCCGGGCCCGTCCTACCATTCTCTCTCCTATCTTCATGGATGCATCAGTCGCTAATTTTGGTCCAATCCAATGCTCCCTGACCGCTCACGCACACCATTCCTCCTGTTCGCCTGGTGGGCCAATCGCTGCCGCCCATCTTCTTCTCTCGGGCGTTATCTCTCTGTTATCAGTCGCTCATTTTCTCCCTTTCTCCCTCTTTCCCTGTCCCCTCCCTCCTCCTCCCTTGCTTCTTCTCCTGCTCTCCTACCAACCCCCTTTTCTGTCGGTCCCGCTCCCCCTCCCCCTCCCCCTCCTGCTCGTCCCGTTTCTCTCTCTCGTCCTCTGGCAGTCCCCTCTGTGGCCGTTCGACATGTCACCAAGTCCCTATGGGAGTAATCCCGATCCCGATCGTCTGATAGGTGAAGATCTTGCCCGTTCAGTTCGACCCTGTGCTTCATCCTCGATTCGTGAGTGTCATAATCCCCTGGATTGCGCAGGCCATGCTGATTACTAATTAGTCTCTTCCCTGTATATCGCTCCAATTTTAACGGGCATTCCAAAGGATCAGCTGTACTTGTTCATCGTGAACTCCTCGAGTGATAGCGACAACTGACAGATGATTTACCGGGAAAAAGGCCTCGTTGCACCCATTCGCCATCCTCCAACATGTTGAACGCATCTGGTCATTAACGTTGTCCTGATGCGTTCAAAATCTTGCCGGATTGTGAGTGGTGCAACTAAGCTCAAAGAATCGTCTGATGATCGAAAACGAATCGTCAGAGGCAAAAAAGATCGTCAGATGATTGATAAAGAATCGTCAGATGGAACTCTGTTGAAATGAAGACCTGGAGCATTTTGTCAAAAAAAAAAAGAAAAAAAAAAAAAAAAAGAAAAAAGAAAAGAAATGCAGACCTGAGTTCGAATCCAGATGGAACTGATGAATGAATTTCCTGAATTTCCTGAATTTCCTGGCGCCGGTCAGTCTGACGATTATATCTCAAGGCCGTCGCTCTTTCTTTTACCTCAAAACAAAAAGAATCGTTAGATAATTGATTGAAAAAGGATAGAGTTTGATGATGCATGAGGGAAAGAAGAAAAAGAAAGAATAAGAAAAAAGAAAAAGGATAGAGTTGGATGATTGAGAAAACGGAAAAGAAGAAGAAAAGAAGAAGAATGGAAAAGTCGCTTATCAGGTGCGTGCGTGGCAGCATCTCATGTGTCGCTTGTTGAGGACGATCGAGCATGGTTTGCGTTGAGTCTTTCTCTCTCTCTCTCTCTCTCTCTCTCTCATTTCTCTCTGTTGTCCTCCTCCTGCTCGCTTGTGTCCTTTTCGCCTTCTATTTGTCTTCGGGACCTCCCTCCTGTTCTGCTTCTGTGCTCCACTTTTTTTGCCTTTCACTCTTCCTCCTCTCTGCTCTCGCTCTTCCTCCTCCTTTTTCCTCCCTCTCCCTCCCCTCCTCTTCTCCTTGTCCTGCTCTTCTCTTCCCTTGTTCCCCTCCTCCTTCTCCTCCCGGTTCCCTCTCTTTGTCTCAGCTCTCCTTCCCGGTGCGTACACATTGTCTGGTCTTGCGCAGAACTTCGTTCAGATGCTGTTATGTCAATCTCCTCCTCCTCCTCCTCCTCCTCCTCCTCCTCCGCCTCCTAGTTTTTTTTCTCCTTCGCAGCTCTCCGTCCTTCTGGGTGCGTACACATGGTCTGGTCTTGAGCAGAGCTTAGCTATGGGCATACTCACACTAGGCCCTCAAAGTCACAAAATCGCAAAATGAGCGGCCAGATCGAGCCCTTCGGTTACAAGAACTCAATCTGGCCACTCATTTTGAGGTTTTGCGATTTTGAGGGCCTAGTGTGAGTATATGCCCTAAGACTGTGATGTCACTCTTCTCCTTTCTCCATTGTTTTCACTCTTCTCCTTTCTTCCGCTGCTTGTGCTCATTTTTCATTTTCGTCTTCATCGGTTTCTTTCTTCCACGTCGTGTCAAATCACATCAACTTAAGGGAAAGAAAAGAGAAAAGAGTAATCAATCACGTCAAATGGGAGCTGCTATCTGTGGCATACATGTAGTGTTGGCAGAGAGTGGGTGGGAAGGGGATGATCTTGGGGAGAGGGGGGTTGGGGGGGGAGAGAATTTGATAGACGAGGGCCCTTTATGGAAACATTCCGTCAGGGGGGATCTTGAGGAGTCCATTTAATATAAGATGGCCATTTCTGGAACATTTTTCCCTCATGGAACTGGGAACTGGGACGTGGTGTCCCGCTTGCTTGCTTGGATGCAAGGTCCCACCGGCAATTGAATGAATGCACGGCTGAAAATGGTTTTTCTCAGAGGTCAATTGCATAAGCATTCACCACAGATGCCATTGACAACAACATATACGAACAGCAGGAGGACAAAGATGAAGACGAAAGAAAGAAGAAAGAAAGAAGAGGAGGAGAAAAGAAAGAAGAAAGAAGAAGAGACCAGGACCAAGACCACACTCGAGTACAAAAAATCGTCAATTACTCCCGAGCGCAAAACGATGGCGAAACGTGAATGGAGACAATAAACACCACCCTCGACACTGCCGCCGCAGTGTTCTGCGTGACTCTACAGCACTGTTTCGGCTGGTCGCCACCAGGCCTCTTCAGGAGTTTTGCTGGCTCAAAGACTCGAGTGGTCTATGGCCGCCTAAATACCTACTGGATTGACGTTTCAGAGAAGGACCGACCCACTGAACCCCTTGAGTTGGGTTAGATGAAGAACAGTTGCAATCTGAAAACGACAACCCTGAAAACACCCCGAAAAACTCCAACAACCGTAGACTAATAGTTGAAAACCGGTACTGTAGTATCCATCCGGCCAAACAGTAACACCCAGAAAATTGGGCCCCTAGCATACGCCAATTCATCTTCGTGGGGGGAACAACCTCCCCCACCTGGAAAACATCCGAGAGAAGGTTAACAACAGTCGTATTTTTCATCACCACTTCATGACACCCTTCACCACTTCATGATGCAGCCTGCCTAAACAGGTGGTTTTCAAGGTCTTCGGACCTTTCAACACTTCAGGACCATTCAAGTCTGAAAATCCTGAATGGTCCTGAAGTGGTGAAAGCTCCGAAGACCTTGAAAACCACCTGTTTAGGCAGGTTGCATCCTCAACTGGTCAATGGTGGTTTTCATGGTCTTCGGACCTTTAACCACTTCAGGACCATTCACGATTTTCAGACTGCCAAAAACTCTCACTTGACACCCTTCACCACTTCAAGATGCAGCCTGCCTAAACAAATGGTTTTCAGGGTCTTCGGGCCTTTCACCACTTCAGGACCATTCAGGATTTTCAGACTGCCCAAAACTCTCACTTCAAAATTTTCATTCCTGAATTTTCAGCTACCCGATAACCGCTTGTGAAACATCCACGCCAACTTATACCACACACGTGCAAAGCGCCGGGATTAACATTCCAAAGCTATATCAAAAAACTCATCAGGGTAACCTCGGTACCACAATTATACCTTCAGAGTGAACAAAAAAGCAGGCTCAGCCCCTGCCAAATTTGTCAAATTCCTGCAGCGATGAAGAAAGGAATGGATGACAACCATTTTTTGCTGTCTAGAAGAATAAGAACAAAAGTCTTGAATCGCATGGAATACAATATCTTGTTGAAAGATGACCCACAAATTCTGATGCAGAGCGACGCATCCAACGGAATGACCCCCCAACAGACAGATAACACAGCTAAGAATATCCCATGAATCCCCATCACTGGTTGACTCCAGTATCAGTGTGGAGTCATAACAACGTTCAAATCTCTCCATCAGAGATTCTGCCTTGCACTTAAACCCTACATCACCCTTCTTGTATTTCACAAAAATCGAGATATCATCAACCAGCCTGATGCCAGAAAAAAACTTACAGACATTGCCAAGAGATAAGAGGAAATGAAATTCATAGAACGCACACAACAGACATGCCAGGGTCGGGCTCGAAGCCTTACCCATGGGGATGCCAATGATCTGATCCATGCATATCCCACCCACCTCGCCAAACGTATGAGCCAGGTCAAATTCCACGAAGTCCATAACCTCAGCGAAGGATATAGACAGATACCCTTCGTTGGTTTCCCACGACGAAGTTTGGCCCCTTTACCCTTCTTCTTAACCATCACACCTGTGCACAATTTTCCATCCCAAAATTCAGTCACCCATTTCAACGCAAGCAAAATCGATTCGTGTGGCAAGATACAAAACATCTCCTTCACATCTAAGGAGCCTCCCACCACACATTCGTAGGTCTTCAACCCTGTATTGATACCATCGATTCGAGGGACCAAATCCTGCATACTGCGGAGATTGAAGTGTGACTCCTGGGGCAACCTCCACATTATCTCGTTAATGCATCCGACAACCTTTTTGCAAGCCAGATTAGCCGGTTCAGAATACGAAGGGCAAATGGGTCTCCATTTCTTAACGTTTATGCTTCGGTATCCCGTTAGCCTTGCCAAATGTACCAGATTTCTTCCACCTGCCCAGACGACCAAATTTCCCATCCACGAACTTCTTACGACAGTTCTCTTACAGGGATTTGTCGTCAAAGTCAACCCTCAAGAAACCCTGATCGTCAAGAAAAAGCCTTTTTAGACCATCAAG